TACGTATTGATCTTATCAATGTGGAAGTTCGTGTCTCTTTAATTGGATCAGTTTTCAAAAGCAGCTGTTTTTATAGAATGACAGAAACATGATAAATGCTTAATGTCTTTAATATTTTATACACTGAGTACTGTTGGATGTCCACTTTATTCAGTTATGGAGCATCCAAACAGCCTGTCTGTTCTCAGGATTTGACAACAAATTAAAGCAAAAACCATTCAAATGTGCCCTTAATATGTAAATCTGTTCCCGTTGAGAGCTTCTTTCCTGTCCTGCTTAAGTGAAACAGTAAGAGCATGTGGTGAGGTTGGAAAAATAGGTGTGGAAAAATGACAGTCTCAGATGTGTTTACACTGTAAGGTCTGAGCTGAACACTTCCTGTTTGTTAAACCCGATTTAAATACATTTGGCTCACTTATCAATAGGAACATTTATAGAATCAGTCACCTGTCAACGCTGCTTCCTGGAGTCCCTTTCTTTCATTTTTCCATGGTTTTCCTCAGTAACCAGACTCTCCCTGCCTCCCCAAACCCCAACTGAGGTCGGACTTTAAAGTCGTCATGAGACAGCTAAAGGTTTAGTCCATGATCACTGTCACCATGGAAACGTCACTTCTGAACACACATAAAGCTGACTGATCGTTCATCAGCTTTTATTTTCTAGCGTCTCTTCCGGCAGTGCATGTTTGATTCCTCCACAATAAAAGCCTCCTCCCTGTCACACTGCGGCGTGTCGTGATGCGTTCACTGTTAGGGAACGGCCCACCTGCGGCTCACCTGCCAGCCCGTCTCGTGTGTATATCAGGGTCCGGGAGTTAGCAGCGCCTTCTCCTCGTCGGGAGCTTCGATAAGATGGCGGATTAACGAGCTGACGTTTATTTCACCGACGCTGCAGTGACGGTTAGTCCCTGCGGAGGGGTGCGGGATCAGATGCGGGATATTTACGGTTTTCCGGCTGAGGTTTTCCGGTGGTGACGCCGGCAGACGGCTAACTTCAGCTCTCTGCTGCGGCATCTCGGCCGAAACCGCTCCGCACGTCCTCTGACCGCAAAACCGCAGGGGCAGGATCCCGGTTTTGACACGAACCCGGGTTTATCGGGGATTTTATTGGTTCCAACTGTCAGGTTAGTGCACCGAGGACTAAAGGAGCCCTTTGTGGATAATTCGGGCGCAGGTACACCTCTGAGTGATGAGAACTGCGGGACTCTGATCCCGGAGAGTCTGACTGCAGAATCACATTACAATTGCCTTTTTTCTTTGAAGATAACCCGGGTTTTTTTTGGATAATCTCATTCTAAACTTGAAGTGGGTAGATTCAGGACTAACGGGGGCCTTTGTGGATAATTTGGCTCCAGGTAAAATCCTCCTGGTCTATGGAGACATGAGATACGGGCCGGACCAGGAACCCGACCGGAGAGAAGCGGTGCCTGCAGCGGAGCCTAGCATCAGGAAAACCAGTTTTTAGTCTCCATCCGGTTTATTCGGGATTATTTTCAGCCGCAGATTTTGAGCCGCATGTCCCGGACCACGGGGGGTCTCTGAGGATCATCCGGAACCATGGGGACTCAGGGACCGGGCCGGAAGAGGATCCCGAACCGGGAGAAACTGACCGGAGAGGACGATGCACTGAACCAGATCGCCCGGGAGGTGAGGATGTTTATTAATAGACCCGCTGGTGTCGATTTGATCGATCAGGAGGAGAAATTTACATCAGAGAAACGTTTCTGTGAATCACAGCTGGTCCCAGCTGTTTAGGGCCCAGGGCCGCACACTGCTTAGGGGCCCCTCTGGACCCCAACCAAGACTTTATTTCACAGCAGAAGATCAGAAGCATTAAATTATTACAGTAAAATATTCATATATCTGAGTAACGTCTAAAAAAAATTAATATTTTAAAATGTGTTTACATAAAAATAATAGGAACAAATCATTATTTTTTACTCAAATTTGAAAGTGAAATGATAAAATTACAGTATAATTTGTGTTCCTATAGTTTGATACTTCAGAGTATTGTACAGTTTTACTTTCAGTATGTCACAGATCTGTGGGGGCGGATTCCCTGAGCGGATGCTCACTGAATGCTAATCTTTGGTTCCTCATATTTTCCATCTGACTGTGACGTCAGTGGATGGTGTATGGAGTCTAAATCAAGATTAAATCAGGAGATCTGCTGCAGGTCACGTTTGGTGTCACCTCTGAGCGGTTTGTGGTAAAGACCTGATGATTATGATGATGATGATGATCGGGAGGAAAAAATGTAAGAACAAAAGTGTGTCGCCCTGGGTGCTCAAGCTGGAAACTCAGACTGATGTTGCAGATTGACTGCTTTCTAACTCTGAGCCCTGACTATAATCTGTTTTTAGTAAACTGTCTGTTTCAGGTGATAGAACCTGATAGAACCCAGACACTTTTTTAGTACCTACTTGACCTGGGTTTATAGTGATCAGAGGTGATCTGAAAATAACAGACTGCATATTACCAATTGGCTGCACAGTAACGTCACTTGATGAGTTACGAGAGCGCCTCCTTAACAAAAATCAAAACTGCCATTTTTGAAACAAAGGACTTCACTGGAAGTCATTTGATGTAACAACTCCACACACGTTAGGTACTACTCGACTATAATGGAGCAACGCCTATGGTATAGTTCAGGGGTACCAAATGTAAGGCCTGGGGACCAGAATTGGCCCAGCGAGGACTCTAATCTGGCCAGTTTGATGGATTTGGAAAATGTGAAGGACAAAATGTTGGATTGGTAACTGTTCCTTTTTTTTTTTTTTTTTTTTAGTGCTGTCAGAGTTAATCTTGTTAAAATGACGTTGGACGGCGGTAATGCATTAACGGGCTAACCGCGCTAACGTGTTGATAATGTGCAGCCCCACATACAGGGTGAACTACGATAACTCACTAACGGAGATTTGCCGCGTTAATGCGGTTATGGCGTTAACGTCATTTTAACGAGATTAACACTGACAGCACTAGTTTTTTTATGATAAATTTGAAGTGTGGCAGCTTCAGCTGGAAATGAAAAGCTACATAGTCTCGTCCATGTGCGTTAGTTTGTTTCAATATGTTAGTAATTCTGTCAATATTCCCTATGTATGTACTGCCAACTTTAAAATGCAGTGCAGGGTGTGTAGTTACAAATGTAACACATTTTTGGTTTTAGAAAAGAGAAGTTCTTCTCTCAGCGGGTGGTGGCGCTAGCTGCGGAGCCTCACCCTGAAACTGGTTTGGCCACATTTAGTGAGCCTGAAGCACGTACACACACACACACACACACACACACACACACACACACACACACACACACAGCCTTTAAGCTGTGTGGGTGTGTGTGTTTCTAATCAGCAGTGTGGACACTGTTAAATCAGGCTTTGTTTTTCACTGGAGTCTGGTGTGACACAAATACCAACGTTTTCCCTCCCACTGACCTACTGGGAGAACAAACACACACTCTGTACGTGTGTGTATATGTGCAACCTCTGTTAATCCCCTGCTGAAGCACAAACATTAATCTGCATTTCAGCAGTCACAACATGACAAGCCCACTCATCATCATCACTGCAGTGTAAAGACAAGGAATCTTGTACATGTTTAAATATACCATCAAATTCATGTTTAATAAAGTAAAATGTTTTTAAAACCAGTAAAAGTATAATATTCAGGAGTTTATAAGTACAAAAAATAAAGTGGTGGTACTTTTTATTATTTAAACACTAGACTAGTATTTTTTATCATTTCAAAAAAAAAGATTAATTCAAATTATGAAAAATCTTTTCAAATAATTAGGTACTTTTATGTTTACAATAATGAATGTATAATATAATACAAATAATTGCATTAAAATATAAATATTAAAATTAGTTTGAAGTATTTAAATGATTTTTTTTTAATCTGTAAAAATGTACATGTTAAATTTGGTGTTTTCTCTTTAGATTTGGTTTTTCAAATTTATTTTCAGTTTTGCCCGGTGACTGTGGGATATAAATAAAGTTTTCAAATTGAAATTTCAATCAGATGTGATGTCAGAGTTGAGTAGAGCTGCCACAATTTGTCGACTAGTCATGATTATAGTTGACACGTCGTTTGAAGCTTTGTAAGATCCTGAAAGACGCAGGAATAAATAGTAGGATTTAAGAATGTAGTAACGGACTGAAACAGAAGATGGCAGCAATGCATCTACAAGGATGCCAGCTGCCGTTAAACACAGAAGAAGCAGTCTCTGGTATTGTAGCTGTGTCCAAATTCAGGGGGCGCGTTTGTAGGTTGATTACGTTACGTGACGTGACACGTCAAAGGCTGTCCAAACTCGAAGACTTCTCCAAATGCATCCGACAAATGCATCCTTAATTTCCCCAGATTTGAAGGCTGGGTTGGGTGTAGGGCTGCTACGATTAGTCGACTAGTCACGATTATGTCGACTATCAAAATCATCGACGACTAATTTAGTAGTCGACGCATCGTTTGAAGCTTTGTAAGATCCCAAAAGACACAGGAATAAGTAAGTAGCAGGATTTAAGAGTGTAATAACGGACTGAAACAGAAGATGGCAGCACTGCATGTACAAGGATGCCAGCTGCCGCTAAACCCCGAAGAAGAAGCAGTGTCCGGTATCGTAGCTGTGTCCAAATTCAGGAATCACATTCTCCTGTGCCCGCATTTTTAGGCCGATTACGTTACAGTGACACGACGAAGACTGTCCAAATTCGAAGACTCCGACAAATGCAGCCGACAAATGTGTCCTTCATTTCCCCAGATTTGAAGGATGGGTTGCTTCGTGGCCCAACCTATCCCAGAATTCATGGCGCGGCTCTGCTCAGTTTCCAACAATGGCGGCAGCTAGTTAGTTTTAATATGACTTATTCTTTCTGGGTCACAAAATAAACGTTTAACATATTTTCAGGCAAGAATGTAGCTGTGTAAACTTCAAATATCTGCTCAGTTTATCAAGACACCACATATTTTCGAAAGCACTCAATGTTTTTGGAGACGTCTGTTACCCACCAGCTCGATAGCTAGCCGGGGTTCAAGGCTGGCAGATCGTTTTCAAACCCACCGCCGTCTTTTGCTGCTCAGGTTAAACATGATGTAAGTCACTTAGATAACTTAAAAATGTTATTGTTTGGCTTTTTTCAGTATTTTATTTGTTCCTAAGTAAATCGGTTTGGCTGAGATTAAAGTTATAGTTTTTACACAGCTGAATAAACGTCAAGCAGACAACTGATTATTAGAAGTGTGAGAAGCTCGAGAACATACTCCAGTGTCCTGTTGTATTTTAGATAGTAAAGAGCAGACGGCTGGGTTTATTAAACTCCACCGAGACAATCTGCAAATTTCATTAAAATTTTAATAAATTGTCATCTTATCTTTATTTTTGGTTAGCACATACCTTAAACACTTCAAGCTGTAAGCTAATGATAGTTATATAAGAGCAGATGCATGCTGGTGCAATAAACTGTATGTTTTACGTCCAATGGATGCATGATCTGATTAGTTGACTAATTGCAAAAATAATCAGTGACTAGTCGACTATCAAAATAATTGTTTGTGGCAGGCCTAGAGTTGAGTGTTCTCAGGTATCTCTCAGGTGTGTGCTGACAGTTAGATGGAGGGAGTGTCTCAGGTATGAAGAGAGGTGGATGGACCACATTCCTCCTGCAGTGACAGAACACACACAGCTTAAATGTTGACAGGTGTTTGCACACTCGGGTGTACTGTCCTTTTAAGTGGTGTCCTGGAAACAGCAGCTTTTCTTCTCTGGTAATTTAAGTCATTTCTGATGTTGTCACAAGTCTGGACACCTTTTCTTTTTAGACATACCTGAGCTGAGGCGTGTGTTAACAGGTGATTTGTGGCAGCCAATCACGTGACACCTATAGATTGATTCAGTAATTAAGACGATGTCTCCTGTGAAGTAATTGATCAGCTGGTGTCTGACTGTGATCACCTGTACTTTATAATAACGCTGTTGTTGTGCTGATAAATCTTTTTGAATGAACCTGAGAGATGCACAGATGCCCCCTGCTGGACTCACCTGAGACTCACCTGAAGAATCAGACCTCAAACATTTACATCAGTTTCACATAAATATATTCACTGTTTTACATTTTCACAGTATTTTAGGTTATTATTGCAAGTAAGATGTTGTTTTTAATAATTTTATTTTTTTCAGATAAATTATTTTTAGGTTACAAACTTTTTTTACTTGTATTTACATAATTATTTAATGCTTAAAATAAAAATGAAAGATTGTAAATAAGAAGTGTTTAAAAAAAAAAGAAAGGGAACAGAAAATGTTTCAAAACAAGCAACAAACTGTTTATTAAAATGTAATTTTCAAGACTTTTTTTAAAATTTATTTTGGTGTGAATTCTTTTTTTTTTTTTAAATTTAAGCTTTAATGTCATTACTTTTTATCAGCTTTAGTTTTACATTTAGAATTTAATTTAATAAAAGCAGGAAGTGGTTCAGGTTTATGGTCTCTAACAGTGACTGATGACATCACTGAGTGTATTGATTAAAGCTGAGAGGAGTTTGATTGAGTTATTGATCAATGACGAACAGACGGCTGAATGAGGCTTTTATTTATTTATTTATTTATTTATTTATTTTATTTTAACTTACATTTTTATTAAAGTTACATAACATTCATGTTTTATTATCAATCAGTTTGTTTGGTTTTTTTTTTGTATTATAATTTTTTTTTATTGCTGACTCTTAGCATTTGAAACCTGTGACCCGGTAATTGGTTATTGATCACAAAATTTTGGCTGATGTATTGATCTCCGTGTGTGTTCAGGCAGAGGCGCGGCTGGCAGCTAAGCGGGCCGCGAGAGCCGAGGCCCGAGAAATCCGCATGAAGGAGCTGGAGCGACAGAAAGAGGTTAGCAGGCTTTTATTTTTTTAAGAAACAATGATTATAATTGTGATGATCAATTACTGATCAGAAAGAGACGAGCTCACAAGTACACAGGGAAACAGTTTATTTTACAAGCTTGTGAAAACAGTTTGATGCAAGGAGGAAAAACTGACTTCTTCAGGTATGTTTTAAAACCACGTAAATAAGAACAGTTAAAAAAAAATTGAAAATGTAAAAAGCAGGTCATCTTCTCTTTGTTGAGTCATTCATTCTAATGACCTTTGACCTCAGTAAACACTGTTCCTGTTCTCAAGTCTTATCTTATAAAATTTCAGGCTGTGCAGCAGGGCTGCATGCCGTAAAAAAACTCAGTTTACTAAAGAGTAAGAATAAACAAAGACAGGAAGTCATCAAATTGTGTTTGTGTGAGGTCAAAGGCCAGTCTGACTGAGCCTTTAGTCACCGCTCGGTCTGAAGTGTGGAGGTAACCCGGCCTTGTCCTGCTGTGGTGAGTCTCAGAACAACTTTATTAACAATAAATTATTACAGTGTGTCTGTTTACTGATTGTTTGTAATGATTAGTTTGTTTTCATCAGCTCTTCTGATTTTGCTTCTTATACCAAAGATATAAAAAATAAGAAAGGGCTTTGAATGACGGGTCATTTATCAGTGATTTGACTGATGAATGAGATTCAGAAAAGAGCTGAGCGTCTTCAGCCTCTGACAAAGTAAAAAAACTGCTTTTGCTGTGAAAGTCAGACAAGAAATTAAATAGTTACATTTCTATAAATGTGTAGTTACTTTGGAGAAGCAGACTCTGGGTTTAAAGTCTCAGCCATTATCTCCCACTGAGCTGCAGTCTGTTTGTGTCCTCTGTCTTCATTATCTGACCCTGGACGCCCCTTTGACCTTTGACCTCTGGCTTCTCTGACCTGTTTTTTCTCTCCTCTCATTCTTCCTTTAGCTGTTTCACAGTCATAAGGTATGAATAAGTCCTCCATTCAGCCTTAACTCATTCTTTCTTTTAGTTTTATCTTTTTGGGGGAACCAGCTGGGTGGGGCTTTGCACTAACTCCACCCAGCTGGTGTCCCCAGAAGGACAAAGCAAACAGATTTCATATTTTGTCTTTGAATAGTTGAAACTTTGTCCTTTCCCCCATTTGATCTTCTCCTCTTCCTGCTCTTCGTCCTCCTCTACAGAAGTATTACGGTGTGGATAATAAGTGGGGTCACATTGAGCAGTGGATGGTAGGACTCTGTGCGAGTGTCAGGCTGACACATGAAAGCTCCAGTGAAGATAAAGGGCCGTTTCATCATATTACCTGTGCAACAGCTCATAGTCAATCATATGACTCTAAAACAAGACTCGAGTAATAATAAAACACGGTCTAATAAAAAATACCCGTCGTGTAAGTACATAATAACTACATTTAGATAACAGTGTAGCATATTTCATGAGCTGTATATGCAAAATGCAATCAATGCAATGCATCATTAGAAATGAAACAACATATTAAATGTGTATCCACAAATAAAACAGTGTAACAGAAATGAATTTAAATAGGCGTTGTATTAGAAGTCATTAAAAAATAGAAAAAAAAGAAAGGAAAATGTATCCGATTTTAGAGTTATAGAATTATAATCAATATTTTAAACAATGTAACAGAACCTGTTTTCTGTGTAACATAAAATAAACCAGCCCTTTGAAGCCTCCCATGTGACTCTGGGCTGTACACATTAACATGAGTTACATTTAAGAGTGTCACAGTTTGAAATAAAATACTAATAATGTCATTTGTTTGATATAAATATAAAAAAAATAAAAATAAAATTGTATTGCAAATGCCATAATTTTATATTAAATGTTGAGTTCATATTACAGGACAGAGATCATGACAATAATAACAATAATACATCAAATATTGAATTTAATTTTGTTAACACAGTGTGATTCAACATAAATTAAAGTTGAATAAAAGTTTAAACTTTAATGCGATTTAATGGAACGTGATGTAAGTAAAAGCAACACTGAGGTGTCTTTTATATCACGTAACACAGCAGCATAATAAAATGTAATGAATATAAAAATATAAAAAAGGATAAAACAGTATTACCTGAATGTAAGCTACATGTACATGAGCACAGTTTAACGTTATGTTAACAGTCAAATAAAACTGAGCCTGAATCCAGATGTTTGAGTGAAACCAGCTGATTTTTTTGTCTCTGTTCAATCCTAAAGCCTGACCCCATTTACCCAGCTCTTTTTTTTTTTTTAAGTGCGTAATAGCAGGAGTTTTCATGTGTCAGCAGGACGCCACTGTCTGTTGTTGTTGTTGTTGTTGTTGTCTGTTCTGCACGTGCTCAGACAGGCTCAGATTAACGGCCTGTTTAATCCTGTCTGATAGATTATCAGTTATCATCCTCCCAGTAACCGTTCCTGCTCGCAAGTCTCTGCAGCTGCTGCTGTTTCACACCTGCGTCTGATTTCTGTTTAATTATAATTAATATTAATTTTTATATTTGTGTCAATTTTCATTTATTTTTAAATTAATAGAACATTACTTTTAACTGCTTTTTGTGTATCTTCATTTTTTATTATTGTATTTATACTTTTACACTGTGTTCGACTTATCCCCTAAGCAGACCTCTTTTATTACTTTTATTTTCTTTTTCTTTTTTTAAAATAAGAACTACAACATTTTTGTAGTATTTTGACAGGCTATGGTCTGTCATTTCTCCCCTCATGCTTCTTGTCTGCATGCAGCAGCCTTCATGTGTTTGTGCTTTATTAGACCGTGCCAATGATGCAATAACCTGCTGTTTAACATGTTCAGAGGACACCCGCCGCCTTCTTCTTTGGTTTCAATCTTTTAACCTGCTTTCTACTTCGTGGCCTTTCAGGAGGATAGTGAGCGGTATTCTCGCCACTCTCGGAGGCATGCGTCGGTCTGTATCTCTTTCCTGTCATTTTCCTGTTTTTTCTGTTTCTTTATTTCTTTAACAAATTAAAAATCATGTGTGTTACCTGTCCACACTGACTATCACACCTCCAGTTACAACTTGTGTGGAAAGGTGTATTTCGGACACTATGGCATCATTGTAGGCATGGTTAGTTTCCACTAACTCACCAGAAGGTCTGAGTGTTTGGTCCCCTAAAATCTAAACACAAAGCAACATCCTAAGGCTGGATCAACTTCTAAAGAACATTAGATCATCCAATAAGCTCTGGATAGTTTACACTCAGGTCTGGGTAGTTTATACTCAGGTCTAACTCAGGTCTAGTAAACTTTTTTTTAAAGTTTTTATTTATGTAGCACCAAACCACAGCAGCAGTCACCTCACGACGCTTTATGTTGTAAGGTAAAGCCTGTGCAATGACAGAATCAATGACGTGAAGAACTGTGCTGTCTGTTGATGCTCTGCTTGTTTAATTGCAGATCTCTGACGATGAGGAGAGGATGTCAGTGGGGAGTCGAGGCAGCCTCAGGGTGAGTTCACATCTCAGCATTTTAACCACAGAAGAAGAGTTTACTCCATAAAAACCTAGTAATACCTGCTCAGGTTCTGCTAATGGATTGCGGCTTGTTAAGCTGCTGTATGAAGCATTTTGGTGGTAAATGACAGAGGTTGAACGTGAAGAGTAGATATGAGCAGCTCGTTCAGCGCTGCAGAGCTTCATGCTGATTACTGCAAGTTATGTATAGACGGGGATGCTGCTGCAGCAGCTGTAAGCAGGAAAGAGACAGGAGGCCGATTAATAATCAATAACAGCAGGAGGTTGAGTCACATCATGAGCTTGCTCATTGTGAGATCACTTCTTGTGAAAATAAAGAGTCTGGTCGTCTTTACCTGTCTGCAGCCTTCAGCGTTTTTCTCTGATGCTCCTCGCTGCCACGGCTATAGGGTCTGACTCTCTGACATCACTTCCTGTGGTTGTGTGTAGCTCAGTAGAAGATCAAACTGAGTAGCAGTGAAGTTAGAGCAAACCTGTCTTATGATCAAACTCATTATTGACCCGCATGCTGATTTCATCCTGATTAATCAAAACATTTAAGTTCCATTGATCATTAATGAGTTTGATTAGTTTTCTAAAGATTTATTTTTACATCTTGATAAAGTGATAAACAACTGATGACACCAACTCTTTTCTTTCTTCTTTCCTTTCCTCTCTACCTCCTTCCTGTGTCACCTTCACATTTAATTTTTGATCCTCATTTTCTCCTTTCTTCCTTCCTTCTTTCAATCCAAAATTTTCTCCCTCCGTCCTTTTTTTCTCCTTTCTCTTATTTCCTTTTCACCTGCATTCATTACTTTTCACCCTTCCTCTTTTCCTACATCCTCTGTACCCTCCTCCTCCTATGTCCAGCCTTCGGACTACAGCGGGTTTCTGGGTTCTGGTTCTCGGGCCTCTTCCAGGGCCAGTTCAGCTCGGGCAAGCCCAGTGGTGAGCTCTCATCTCTGGATGTCTCAGTCTGACTCTGTGGCTCCCCCTGCTGGCTGCTGACAGCCTCACTCTTTGAAGTTTACAGTAAAACTCAATCAGTCATATCAATAATCAGTGTTTCTGTGTTCAGGTGGAAGAGAGGACAGACAGAGAGTTCCCAGATAAAGTGAGCCCACTCTTGATTTTATTTTATCTTTTTATCATATGTTTTTTAAACTTGTATAAAATTTGTTTAATTTTTATTTTTTAAAAACTAAAATACTGTAATTTTACCAAGTCAATATATTTTTTGTTATTAATTTATTTTAAATGATCTGATATAAATTTGGTAATCATCTTTGTGTCAGGGCTCTAGGACGGCCTCGACGCTCTCAGCAGCCACTCTGGCCTCGCTGGGCGGAGCCTCATCTCGCAGAGGAAGCTGTGACACGTCATTCTCCGTAGAAACCGAAGCGTCCATCAGAGAGATGAAGGTCACGTTTAAAAAAACCATGAAACAGTTTCTTTAGTGTTTGAAACAAGTTGAATTCAAGATTTAAATAAATGTGTCTCAAGCACTCACCAGTTTTAGTGCTCATGTTGAATAATGAATTAATGAATAATAAATAAATAAATGTACAAAGTTTGTTTCAAGGGCTTTACTGTGATAAATATGAAAAAAATAAAAAACTTTTTTGTGACTGTAGGACTCTCTGGCAGAGACTGAGGAGAAGTACCGTAAAGCGATGGTTTCTAACGCTCAACTGCACAATGAGAAGTCGACTCTGATGTATCAGGTGGAGACGCTGAGGGAGGAGCTCAACGACATGGAGGAGCTGCTGTGGGAGACGCGGCGCCGCTGCGACGATGCACACAAGGTCACATATTTGTATATATTTATATTTGCAACCATGTTTGATATGAATAGAGTCAAAGAAAAAGAAAGTCCATGTATCATCACCATCACTGTGTCTCATTTATTTGACAAAAACTGAACCCAAATATAGAACCACAAGTGTCTCAGTCAGGCTGAGGTCTGGATGTTTGCGACACCTAACGTTTCTAACGGAGATTTGCTGCCGTGCTTTGGATCATCATGCTGTTATCCAGTTTCAGCTGTGACACTAACGGCCTCAGATTTAACTCAAAAACTTTCAGTTCACTTTCTTGTCACAAGAAGGGAAAGTTGTTCAGTGCAGCAGCTTATATGATTTTGATTACAGCAGTGAAAAACATAAGCATGCAATAAATACAAAAAACGAATTATTACAAAAAAAAATTAAATATACCTAAAATTTCATCTGTGAAGGTTCTCAGTCATCCAGGTTATCGTAGTTATGGATCTTGGAAAGAAAATCGTCTGGGCTTCTTTAAGTTTCTTGAAGACATTTTCTTTTTTTCTTTGAGAGCTTTAACCTTAAATGTAAAGGCTGAAATTCTGCTTACAGGCTGTGATACATTCAGCTTTCTGAGGCACCAACACCTCTGAGATTACAGCGTTCTCAGAGTATCTTACTTCCTTGTTTCACAGCGTTCTGTAACCCAGGACTGTTCTGCACATTTCACAACATGTGATCAGTAAAAAAGATTCAATAAAAAAACATTATCTTTTCTCTGAGACTTGCACGGTGTGATCTTGGGGTGAGTTTGCTGGGACGTCCTCTCCTGCTTTGAATGTTTTCCACTTGTGAATAATCTTTCTCACTGTAGAATGATGGACCTCAGATTGTTTGAAATGACCTTATAACCTTTCCCAGATTGACAGGAAGCAGCAGTTGCTTCTCTAAGATCATTGATTATGTCTTCCTTACGTCCATGTTAACACACCTGAAACTTCAGATCTGCTCAAAATGCACCTTGGTGTTACCGACCCTCATCGTTCCTTTAGAAGCAGTGAGGCTGGAGTTTGTTCTTCCCGAACATTTAAATAATGTGAAATAAAGACACGGCATAATATTAGATGTGTATTACGTTTGGTACATAAAGCTCAAGCAATTTAGAGAGGTTTTTTTTTTTTTTTTACCATGTCTGTAATTATCTTAACTGCAGATTTGAGGATTTTTTTTTCGTCTGCTGTTGTTGTTTATCAGTGTGTGTTTGTGTGTGTTTTCAGGAGTGGGAGCGTGAGCGTCATGCTCACAGCTTACTGCAGTTTCACTTCAAAGACATGAAAGAAACTCTGAGACAGACTGAGGAGCTGCTCACGGTTGGTTAACACGCGCACACATACTATGTTACTTTTAATTACAGCGAAGACACATAGCAGAAACAGTTGAGCACACAAAGTCCAAAAAACTCAAACTGAAGCAACAAACAGAGATAGATATGACACCAAACGAACAAATCGCTGTTTGTAATTCATTTGACATCTTTGTAACAGTATATAAGGAAACTATCTGATAACTTTGTACACCAGTGAATTCATACACTGCATAAAAAAAAGGCTTACAGTATAAATAGGCAACATGACTTTGACATCCCTACAATTATATATATATCTATCTATCTATCTCTCTATATATTATTATTATTATTATTATTATTAAACAAAATTCACGGTTCGGTTCGATACTTTGGTGTCACGGTTCGATATTTTTTTTGATACAAAAGAATGTTCATGCATTTTTAATTTGTCATTTATTAAAATTATAAATATATATTTTAACTCAAAAGTAGTTTTTAAATTTAATGTTGCTGAAACAACAAAATAATTTTAAAAATAATCTATCTGATCGAGGAATTACTCATCTTTGGAAAAGAGAGTTTATTACAGAGAAATGGCTCTTTCCAAAATAAAAGCTACACTATACGCTTCTTCTGGGCTATATTCTCAGCAGCATATTAAACATATCAGGTCCC